AGGAAGGAAGAGGGGGAGGAAGGGGGAGGGGGAGGAAGGGGGAGGGGGAAGAAGGGGGAGGTGGGGGAGGAGGAGGAGGCTGAAGGCAGCATGGATAGGCTCAGCCTAGGTCTGGCTGTAGATAGCTCCTCCTGTCAAATGTTAGGGATTTATTTTTGTTAAAATTCAAAATGACAAGTCTTCAATTTTATGTGGTTTTCTTATTGACTGGGAAATCTCTAAAAGTGACATTCTAGTCCTGGCTCCCGGTCTGTGTCCCCTCCCTGTGTCCCCTCTCCCCCGGTGGTGAGAGCCACAGACACACTACAGAGAGCACAGAGCTATGTCAGCAACAGCCCCGCCCAGGTCCTGGGCATGAGGGCCTCCCAGGGAGGACCTCTCTGGTCTGGTGGGGGAGCTGGCATTAGGACCCACCTCGACAGGGCAGCTCAGCCATGTTGAGATGGAGAAGGACTCCAGGATCATGTGACGGTGTGCCACAGATGGCCACACGCTGGTCTCGGAGTTGGTTTAGAGGCACGTGGCAGTCTCTGGGCAGCGCTTCTCATCTCTGCCTTCTGTTCCAGCATCTGCATTTCCTGAGGACTTCTCTATCCTGACCACTGTGAAAGCCAGGAAAGGCAGCCAGGCCTTCCTGGTCTCCATCTACAATGAGCAGGGTATCCAGCAGGTTGGCCTGGAGATGGGCCGCTCCCCAGTCTTCCTCTATGAGGACCACATGGGAAAGCCTGGGCCTGAAGATTACCCCCTCTTTCGGGGTATCAACCTGTCAGATGGCAAGTAAGTGGTCCGGGGACAGCCCAGGCCTCTCTCCATGGGGAGGGCACAGGCTGGTGGGGGCGGCATGGCAGGATGTCCAGTGGGGGGGGTCACAGGGACAGCATGCGGGGGCACAGGCAGACAGAGCACTGGGCTGGGGTCCTCCGGTTCCATGTTGGTTTCTCACTCCTTGGGTGAGTCCTTGCTCCTCCCTGTACCCGCATTTCTCCTTGGAAAATGCATTCAATGCATTTCATGTCGGCCTTGTCAGGAGGGACAGAGGACATTGCTTGTTCTAGAGGGCCTTGCAGAATCCCTTCTGGACATGGACACGTGCAAGGTGATGATGGTGTGTGTGTGTATGTGTGTGTGCTGCTAACTAGGACTTGATCTCAGGTCCTGGGCACTGTCCCCTAGCTTTTTTGATTAAGGCTGGTGCTCTATTGCTTGAGCCCTAGCTCCATTTTCAGCTTTTGATGGTTAATTACAGGTAAGAGTCTCTTAGACTTTCTAGTCCGGGCTTCTAACCTTAGCCCTGAGATTCTCACCTCTTGAGTAGCTAGGATTACAGGTGTGAACCAGTGACACACTGCACAGTGAAGATATAAAACAAAGGGGGGGGGTCTTGTTAGTATTCTCTATTGGAGGCAAGATACCTCTGTGGCTAGTGTGTTTCTGTGGTGTCTCTGTGGTGTCTCTGTGGCAGCGTGTCTCTGTGGTGTCTCTGTGGTAGTGTATCTCTGTGGTAGTGTGTCTCTGTGGTAGTGTATCTCTGTGGTAGCGTGTCTCTGTGGTGTCTCTGTGGTACCATGTCTCTGTAGCAGCATGTCTCTGGTAGCATGTCTCTGTGGTGTGTCCGTGGCAGTGTGTCTCTGTGTTATCTCTGTGGCAGTGTGTCTCTGTGGTAGCGTGTCTCTGTGGCAGTGTGTCTCTGTGTTATCTCTGTGGCAGTGTGTCTCTGTGTTATCTCTGTAGCAGTGTGTCTCTGTGTTATCTCTGTGGCAGTGTGTCTCTGTGGTAGCGTGTCTCTGTGGCAGTGTGTCTCTGTGTTATCTCTGTGGCAGCGTGTCTCTGTGGCAGCGTGTCTCTGGTAGCATGTCTCAGTGGTGTCTCTGGCAGCGTGTCTCTGGCAGCGTGTCTCTGGTAGCATGTCTCAGTGGTGACTCTGTGGCAGCATGTCTCAGGCCTTGCGGTGGCCTTGGCCACTGTGTTGGGCTGTGGATCCCGTCTTCCCTCATAGGACTGTTGAATGAGCCATTGAGACCCCCCCGCCCCGTCCCATCAAAACCAATCCCTGCATTTGTCATTAGTGTTCGGACGCCCCACTGGAGACAGGCCCTCTTGCTAAAGGCACCGGAACCTCAGCCTTTCTCCTATTTATCTGGTGGCTGTGACGGAGGCGCTGGGCCATCCCTGAGCCTGCACCGAGCTCCCTATGTGCCCTTGGCCGTTCCAAGGAGGCCGCAGGGTTTGCAAGTCTCCCTGCACCTGGGAGATGCAGGTTCTGAGGTTCTAAGAGCTGAGTCCACCTTACGGTGGCACACAGCACCGGGAAGGCCTCTGGGGGTCACACCGGGCATTCCCTCTGTGACTGGGGGAAATGCGCGTCTTCCCCGACGTTGGGGTTGGCGATCTGTGATCTGAGTCCCGTCCCTGGGGCCATCTGCTTCTCTATAGGTGGCACAGAATTGCTCTCAGCGTCCACAAGAAGAACGTCACCTTGATCCTTGACTGTAAGAAGAAGATCACCAAGTTCCTGGACCGCAGCGACCACCCCATGGTCGATGTCAACGGAATCATTGTGTTCGGCACCCGCATCCTGGATGAGGAGGTGTTTGAGGTAAGCAGAGGGTGGGTGGCCCCATGCCCGCCCGGGCTCCTCTCTGGAGCCACTGTGGTGGCCATGGAGGCCTGGGGGATGGCTGGCCTTTGGCCTGGGCATGGTTCCGGCTGGCCTGAAGCCTCTGGGACTGCCCCAAGGGTGCTTGTGTCCCACGGGATGGAGGGACCAGGCCACATGGGAATGGCGGTGGCACCTAAGGTGTCAGGACCCAGTGCCAGTTGGGTGTGACAAGGGCATGGCAGGCTGCATCTGAGACTTTGGAAACTTACAGCCTGCACACACTGGGGTCTCGTGGTGACCGAGGGCCATGCTGGGGAGTGGGCAGTGTCCTCTGGGTGGACGTAATCAACCCGGGTGTGCCGCCTGGAGCATACGGAGTGCGTTGTTCAAATTCAGCCAGGCCAGATGAGCTACTTTCCTGGAAATGCCCAGAGGTGGGTGGTAGGAGGCAGAGGAGGCTCTGAAGCCCCACTTCTGCCCAAGGAGTCCTTCTTGGTTGAGGCTTGGCACAAGTGGTGTTCTAGCTGCCATGAGGCGGTTGGCGGCCCTGCAGGTCCAGGCGGGCCACATAATCAGCCAAAGCCTCTACAGGATGGGCTTGTAGGGCCCTGCCTGCTGAGTCCCCGCATCCGGGGCTGAGTCCACGTTCTGTCAGCACTCTGGGGATTGATACCCTCTCTGCCTGGATCTTGTGCCAGCCAGGGCCCCGTGGCTGGCATTAACGTCCCCGCCCAGGGCTCCGCGGTTGCAAGTGTTTGGAAAATAGTCTCCAGGGACCATCCCGGCTCTTAGATGAGATGGGTGATGTCCCTCCCCCCAGTTCTCAGGAGCCACCCAGAGCCCTTAGGTCCTCTAGATATGTGGCCACGTTTGGATTCCAGCTGTGTCTCGCATCTCTGGTGCTGGGGTGGGCTCTCTGGGGTGGTGTCTTTGCAGTGATGTGCAGCCCACCACGCCGGGTGCACTGCTGACTCAACCCTGGCGCTCCGTGAGAAGCAGGGAAACAGACGTGATGTGTGTGTGCTCCTTGTCTGTGTGCCAAGGGCGGGGCCTACAACTTCGGTGGAACACATGAGGATGAAATGCTTGTCGTCATGGGACACATAGTGTCACCGTGGGTTCAAGTCCCCCGCAATGCTGGCCTCGGTGCCTTGCCAGGTGCTCACCCCTGTTGGGTGTTGGATTTAGGCCTTGGGAGAATTGCTCTGATAGTTCTCAACCTCAGTTTCTCCTTCTGCAGCACGGGGTCATAAGTATAGCCACTCCCTAGCGCTCTGCAAGGATGCACACAGTGAATACAGCACACAGTCTCCGAAGGAAGTGCTTAGTAAATGCCACCCATGCTCACTCTGATGTTCACCAGTGTTCTGACGGGGTGGGGGAGGGGCGGGGGAGGAGGACAGAGCCTGCTGGTGAGTGTGAACAGTCTTGGAGAGGCCGAGGCTGCTACCCCATGGGGAGATAGATGGCCAGCCTGTTAGGAGACAGGTAGTGTTGGGATTAGACATGGCTCCAGAGGCTCAGGCATTGGCCAGGACCCAGTGAATGGTGCTGTTGGGGTGATTGGGTCACGAGGATGCTGACCTCACTCACACATCAATTCATTGATGCATTTGCTAGGGAGCGGGCCCACTGGAGGCAGCAGGTCCCGGGGATGTGTCTCTTGACGATGCATCTTCTCCTTGGGCCCTTCCTGCTTTTCTCTCCGGATGCCATGGGGCACGCAGCCTCCGTGCGTTTTCCTGCCATCACTGTTTTGCCTTGGCCCAGGGCCATAGCAGTGGGGCTGGTGGGGCACGGATAGAGGTCTCTGAAACCCAAGAGCCAAGGTAAACTTCCTTCCTTAGCCAGATAATGTGAGTGGTTTCATCCTGGTGGTGCCTGGGGTGGACTGACCAGCACAGGCGGGAGCTGGGATGGGTGGCACCTGCGGCCTGAAGGACGCACGAGGTCAGGTGGGAACTTGGGTCCCGTTGGTAGTACCAAACTGCGTGTGATTGGGGCTTCCTCAAGGTAGGCTCTGATCGCATTTGCCTGTAGAGTTCCACAGCCAGGAGGGGTCGGCTTGTGGTTGATTCTCAGGAACTGGTGCTAAGAACTGGCCTGGGGCCGGCACAGCCTGCGTGGAGTGCTGATTTGACCTCTTGCCTGGGAAGGTATAGGTAAAGCAGATGCTGTTGTGCTTTGGGGTGTCCTGCGGGGTGAGGGTTCAGGGTGGCATCCAGAGAGCTGGGCTGGGTTTAGCTATGGAGCTGAGCTGCAGCTCTTCAACTTTCCCTTGCTCTAGGTCCTGACTCCAGGAGCCTGCGGGTGTCCTGGGGCGGTGGGAGGAAGGGAGGGCTGAACGCTGAACACGGTGGGTTTGCTCTGCTGTGTCAAACTGTCGGTCTTTCTGGAGCCTTTGAGTGCTCCTAATGTCTCTTTTTCATGGAGATGGAGGCAAAAGTGTTCTCTTATCTTTAAAAGTGGGACCCTAAAACAAATGCTGTAGCCTACCAGAGAAGCTGTTTTCTTACTGAAGACACTCAGAGGCCAGAGCTGGCTTTGAATCCCCGCCCACAGTTTCTTAGCTGTGAGATCTTAGCGAGATCTTAGTGAGATCTCTTGCCCATCCCAGACTCAGTTTCCCCAGTTGCAAGATGAGGATAAAAGTTGGAGTTTCCCCGCTGTTGTCGTGTGGGTCTAGGCACGTGCAGGACTTAATCTGTGGATAGTAGGCACGTGGATGGCTCACATAAGCATACCAGCACTGTCACCCCTGGGTGACGGGGGGAACAAGAGCAGCTCGTAGTTTTCAAGAATCAATGCATCTCGAAGAACAGAGTCCAGCTCCGCTTCCCTGGCTCGGTCTTGCCCCGCACTGCGGTGGCCCCACACAGCAGCTGACCATTGGACGAAGCTTGGTTGAAAGAGCAGCAGGTGGCAGTGTGTTCAGAGCTCACCTTCACGGGCAAGCTTTTCTTCCCAGTTGGGGCTGCAGGAAAGGAGGAGTTTTGCTGACCGCAGGTCTGAATGGTCTGAAGGCAGTGTTTCCCCTGCAGGGTCTCCAGGCTGTTAGCTGTGCTCACGGTGGGAAATTGGGCCTGTCTTCCTTAATGAAGCCCGTGGAGGGCAGCCTGGCTGGCGAGGGCGGCCTGCTCTGAGGGAGCGCTCACGGAGCCTTTTTCTCTCCTCGCTTCCTTAACAATGTAATCAGAAAGGTGGGGGAGGTGATTTCACAGCGGCTTCCCTTTGTCTCCTTGCCAGTACAACCTGGTTGTTATTTTTTCAGAAATAGCTTAGCTTAGCTTTCAGAAGGTTCTAAAGAAATATACTTCCCCCTTTCCGATTATAACTGCTTGGCTTGGGTGGCAGGTTCATCTGGAGGAGGGGCTGTTGGGAACTTTCTCTGGTAGCCATCTTCTCTGGAAGATGACTTTCGCGTATTAAAATCCAGTTTGTCCCAGAGTGCTGGGCAAGTGGGCGGGTCCTGGCCTTTACTGAGGGCCAGGTCACTGGTGGCTCGGGCTTTCTGGGCTCCCTGCTCTGGTGACTTTCCGGTCACCTGACCAGACCTGTCAGACCCCAGAGAGCTTGATAGGGGCTGCAGGTTTCCCCCAGGGTGCCTGTGCCCTTTCAGAGCTCCCTTTGTCCTGGAGAAAAACCAGTGGGGACAGAGAACAGACCAGTGAGAGTAATTTGCACGCAGTGCAGAGCCGTTTTGGCTCACGGCACGGTGCCCAGGACTGCTGTGGGCAGATACCGGGCCTGGTGATGTGGCCACCTTGGGATTGGTCTTGCCAGCCTGGGTCCACCTTGCTGCCCAGGGGAGGCTGGAGGTCCCAGTCCTTTGCCAGCCATAGACAGAGGAGATTCTCAGGTCCCCAGCCTTGACCTTCATGTGCATCGAAGGGCCTGGGTCTGTGGAACAGTTAAGGGTGTGACAGAGCCAGCGCTGTGGGCTGTGGAGCGGGTGCATGAGGCCAGCCGCTCCTGGCGCTGAGAGAAACACACTGACCCTGGGTGGTCATTGCTGGAATCTGTCCTGGGGCCATGGCCAGTGTGTACCTGGCAGGGACAGCCAATCAGGAGCTGCCTTTGTGGCTATGACTGTCTCCATGGAGACAGAGTCACAAACTCCTCCTTATCTTGGCTCTTCTGGGGTCACCTTGTGAATGGGGTGCAATGACTTTACCTTAGAGGTAAGACCCTGAGCCCTGGGGAGGACTAGGCTGAGATTTGGGGAGGACAGAGCTGAGCCCTGGGGAGGACTAGGCTGAGATCTGGGGAGGACGGAGCTGAGTCCTGGAGGGAGGACATGGCTGTGTCCTGGGGAGGATGGAGCTTAGATCTGGGAAGGACGGAGCTGTGTCCTGGGGAGGATGGAGCTGTGTCCTGGGGAGGACGGAGCTGAGATCTGGGGAGGACTAGGCTGTGTCCTGGGGAGGACGGAGCTGAGTCCTGGGGAGGATGTAGCTGAGATCTGGGGAGGACAGAGCTGAGATCTGGGGAGGATGGAGCTGAGATCTGGGGAGGACTGGGCTGAGATCTG